AATTGTCTATCCAAATAACATCTCTTGTTATGAGAGGGATTTGAACTGACATTTTGGTGTTTCATCGCCACATCGCCCAGCAGCATCTTGATCTCCGATATACATGATCGTTCCTCCACTTGATTCGTCTGGATCGTCACCGAATAACTCGTCACTGTTGTTACGATTCGCGACAAATTTGACCACACCACTGCCGTCGGATGCTGGTAACTTTGGAAGTTCGGACGGCGATGTCTTGGCTGATTCTTCTTTTATTGGCTGACGTGCAACGTTTGGAGTGGCACTTAATTGAGCGCAGTTGATTATTTGGAAACTGATCAGGTCATGAATATTAAACAACGTTTCACTGAGAACGTTTGAACAAAGAATTGAAATGCCAATAAAATGAACCCTCTTGTTGCAGACGCATGACCCGCTATACAGAAACTACTCGAGCGAGCACTCAAATTGGTCGCCGGTGGACTTGATGTTGGGAACATACTCGAAATGCTCACCGCTGACGTCTTACGACTATTATCAAATGCTGACGAAAGTCTGAAATTAATTACTCCTTGTGATAATCATCATTAACGTTTGTATGGCATGTACAGCCACCGTTCATTTATATGCATCATATACGTACAATCACACAATTTTTCTTCACAGATATTTCATTGAAGCACTATTGAACAGTACATTCTGAATTGACGTTAACTGCCGTGAAAATCTATTTCTACAAGACATTGCATATGTTCAACACATTTATGCATACGAAGAAATGTCCTCAAATTGATTCAGTGCTCAGAACAACTGACTCGATTGATGCGGTAATAAAAAGAAACGAACGCGCTGGTATCGGTTTGTGGACGATGTGATTGTGTATGAGCACGATCACGATGCAAACCGCTTCGACGTGACGACGTGTGTGATGGCCTGAAATTGATATGATTTCATTTGAAATTCTTCGAAACTCAATCCAATAAGCATCACAATGAAACCAGCAACGAATACTCACAATCTGCCACCCTGCGAGCGTCTCTTTTCACTTTCTCGTTCGCATATTTTACTCACTTTCTCGTAAATGCTCGCTGCACAATCACCACTTTCCGTACACAGCCATAGTTCACCAGCACCGGTCGGCGCGAAACGTCCAACGCGCAAAAAGAAATACTTCTCCTGTTTGCCGAAATTCGATACCGCATTCATCTAACATAATAATTATATCATCTGTGTTATTGACATGATCTTCATTATTATTTCTGTCATATTACTAATAAAAGTGAGAATGATTACCTCCTTACAAATTCATTGAGTATTGGCAACTATAGTTTGCAATGAAAACGCATTTTGCATTATACTTCACTACAGAGAAAGACGCATGGAACAAACTTAGACGAAAGCAATCGTTAGTCAGCTTTTGCACACATCANTCACTACAGAGAAAGACGCATGGAACAAACTTAGACGAAAGCAATCGTTAGTCAGCTTTTGCACACATCAGTCGTTTTAATTGCAACGCAACGTCACAATCAACAACAATCATTTGCATAGAAATGAGTTCGCACAACAAAATTGCGTTTTCAATCAAACTAATCTCAAATTTATGTATGAAATGAAATGTTTTGCTCTGATTCATTTTCGATAACAACTTCGCTTCGTTGATTCAGTTCATTATTCATTAACTTTCAAATAGAAGATAGCTTTCAACTCCCACCGGAAATTCCATGAATTCATCGGGATGCAGCGGTGGAAAGCCATTCGCAGATGCCGTTAACCCTCTTCTTGCAATGATTACGCTATGTGGATACATACACATCCTCAAATAATGAACATAAAAAGTCTCATACAACACAAGAATAACATAAAATATTCTGATACTCACAAAGTGAAACTTCGTTTCATTTGATCAGATTGCGACAATCAAATTTATTATCGAGACAAAAAAGTGAAATTAGAGATGAAACGAACCTCCTCTTGCCCAATAACTGCTCACTATATTTTGACACAACATCTTCCATGTTATCGACTCCTTTCGATTTCTTCCGTAATTTCGGTAATTTAACCATCTCCACATCCCAAGCAATCTTAAAATATCACTCTCCAATGAAGATGCTTTTCGCAGTCAAACTCTTACCGGACAATGGTTCAGTGAACACATTCGAACAGATTTCTCGCAAGTGACACCAAAAACTACCTCAAAGTATTCTTCTCTGAAAACTGGCCTTCCTAAGCGGGTGGCACGCGCTTGACGCGTTTTATCGATCAACTGTGAGAACCAATCCTCTAAATCGTCGGCGTCTGATAACGGCTTCAAGAAGAATGTCTCGTCGGGCAGCATCACTGAGATGCACTCTTTCAGTGTGCATTCGTACTGAAATCATTATGACTTCAAAAATAAGCTGACCTCAAAAACTTGAAATACTGTGCAAAACAAAAGCACATCGAAAACATCGCTGAAAATTTTTGAAAAATTCTGCCAAAATTTTCTGAAACAAATTGTAAAATTTGTATGAAAATTAAATTGAAAATCATATGGAAAATATGAAAATCTATTCTGAAATGACAAAATACCACGGCTTTGGAACTTTTCGAGACATGAACTATTTCCTTTCAATATTTCAATATGCAGTTCAGCAAATCTTCAATATGTATGTATCCCTACCTCCACCCCGCCAATAAAAACAAGA